AATCAAAATGGAGGGGTAGCTCAAAATGACTTCTATAGAGTAAGCCTTGGTGACAGCCTAGATGGTCAGAGCAAAGAAAACAGTGGTTAAGGGGAGGACAGAAGACCCCTCAGTGGCAAAACATAAGAGGAGGCTTCCTTCTAGATTCCTCAAAGGCTGACAGGAATATTCTTAGCCATGAGGCCAGAGCTCTCCTAAGAGTTTAGGCAGGGCTGGAGAGATGGCTCAATAATTAAGAGCATTTGCTTCTCTTGAGGAGAATCCTGAGTATGAATCCTTGTGAAGGTCACAAGTTCGAATCCCTGCACTCATGTTGGATGGTTCACAATGGCTTTATAACTTCACTTCCAGGAGATCTGAAGCCCTTTACTGGCCTCTGTAAGCACAGACACCTTCAGGTGGGGGTGTATACACTATACACACACACAGACACACACACACACACACACACACACAGAGAGAGAGAGAGAGAGAGAGAGAGAGAGAGAGAGAGAGAGAGATTGAGAGAGAGAATATGTTCCAGAATGGCACACTAGATTGGATGGCACACTAGATTGGCGGCACAGCTTTCTAACCACAATCAATGCAGGCAGATTACTTTGGCTATAGTGGAAGGTGCAAAATACTCTAGCAAAGTCCAGCATAGGAATCGAACAGCAAACAAAACAGGTGATGAGAATCAATGTGGAAGAGGCAGCAACTTATTGTAAGCTGCCAATCACAGTGGAAGGCTCAGAAAGGGCATGTCCTAGACTGGTAAGTGCAAGAGCAAATGCCATCAGAGCAGCAAGCAATTCAAACTGATGGATGCCTCTGTTTCTAGTGGGCTGAAAACTGCATGTTCTCTGTGAGCTAGTAACTAAGGCGCAACTGCTATTCAGCTGTGGTTTTGATCCTATTACTTCCTTTGATCCTGCTGCCAAAATTTTACTATCTGAAAGCCTAACAAAAATGAAACCAAGCTGAGCAGTTCCGGTCTGCAGTGTGGTTAAAACAGGAGCAGGCTCAAGAGAAGAACTGAAGGAGAGCCAGAGATTCTTGCACTTAGCAGTGTCTGCAAGGTCAGCACTCCCAGAAGCCGTTAAACCTCAGAGAAGTTCTTCCAAGTAGATGGTGGAGTGCTGGCGAATATTATTTAAGGTGTTTTGCTTTTGTTTATCCTACATTTGTTTAACTCCGTGAAGCTGTGATTCTTTGCCTGTCTAAAACACCTGATGGTTTAATAAAGCGCTGAACAGCCAATAGCGAGGCAGGAGCAAGGATAGGCGGTGCTAGCAAGCACAGTATAAATAGAAGGCGAAATGAGGAAGAGAAGGAACAAGAGAACAGGAAGAAGAGGACTCCAGGGGTCAGCCACCTAGCTACACAGCAAGCCACGGAGAAAAGTAAAGAAAGGTGTACAGCAATAGAGAAAGATAAAAGCCCAGAGGCAAAAGGTAGTCTGGAAAATTTAAGTTAAGAAAAGCTGTCAAGAAACAAGTTAAGGTCGGGCATACATAACTAAGAATAAGCCTCTGTGTATGATTTATTTGCGAGCTGGGTGGTGGGCCCCTCAAAAAGCCAAAGGAGTAAATCACCACACAGTAGTGGAGATGCCCAGGAGCTGGTAGTTATGTGGCCTGGTTCTAAACACATGGTCTAACTACTAGACTTCCCAAAGAGGAAGTTTACCAAGGAACACGGTAAATAACATGTTATCTCTCATTATTCGAGGCAGCAAAGAAACTGTAGCAGGAGGAAGGAGAAAAGGCAGAAAGTGTCCATATGGGACTGAAGCACAATAGTCCCCAAACAATGTAGGATCCAGTAGAGGGTAAAGGCGCTTCATGACACCTAGAGAAGCCAGTCTACATGGAGCCCTCCTCCTCCAGGGTCCTGCCCATGTGGTTTCCATGTCTTGCAAGGACTGCAATTCAACTACCTCTCGTCTTTAACAGCTTTCTCAGATAGATTCTGAACTCAGTGCCAGTGCGTCTTCAGAATCCAGCTTTTCTAACAAGTTAGAAAGAGGAAAAAAGATTCATCCACTGAACTGTTCTTTCATGAGCACTTACTATGCCTTACATAATTCAGGAGGCCCACTAACCCAATATGAATGGAACTCTTCTCCGCTCCTCTTTCCAAAGCTCATCTCTGCTCCTTCCCAATTCCCAATTCCCACTACACCCAATACAGCACTGAACAAAGCTCACACCAATTCATTACTACTGTCTTCAATACCATTCCGCCCAAATTTCTCTGCTCCATTTTCCCTCTCTTCCTACCATCTCCATACATCATGTTTTCAGTCCTCATGAACTGAACTCACCTTGGTTCCTCCACTATCTGACCCCTTCCTATTTTCTAATATATCTCTGATCCATTCTTCCCCTTTCTTCCACTGCGTCTATGAACAGGCAAGCTACACATCTACCAACATGAATGACTGCGCCTTTCCCTCGCCTGCTGAGTGTACAATCATGCAAGAACCACCCTCAGTTGTCTCTAGGGCCCATTCCATCTATCTTTTTGCCACACTTAGTTCCCTGCTTACCATACATACCCAATTCCTACAGCGTCCCTTGCCTGGCTCCACAAGAACTGAACTCGCGTGGCTCCTGTCCACACAGCTGCTTGGCTCAGCCCCACCTCCCTCTTTGGATGACTCACCCTGTTTCCTGCACCGAGAATCACATAATGGCTGCACTGCAGGACATGGTGACTTCCTTCTATTTGCTTATGTAACTGGAGATGATATGCAACTAGCCGCCCTAACACCTTCATCAAGAGATTCTAAAGAGATTTGATTTCATAGTTGGGAACATTAAGCAGGAAGAAATGTTTTCAGGGTAATTAGCTTGATTCCACTATTTCACAAAGTAGATCTATTTTAAAATATAACTGTGCTTCCACTAAATATTAAGAACTTTTACTTGGTCATTAAACATAAATTGATTTTGTATGGCTATACTTCATAGTAAAATGGGAGGAAGGGCCAGTCTTTCCAACCCTGTCTTTTTTTTTATTTATTTTTTCATTCCTCCAGCTTTTTTTTCTTCTTTTTTTCTTTTGTCTATGTTTTTTTTAATTTATTTATTTATTAAGGATTTCTGCCTCCTCCCCGCAACTGCTTCCCATTTCCCTCCCCCTCCCCTGATCAAGTCCCCCTCCCTCATCTGCTCGAAGAGCAATCAGGGTTCCCTGACCTGTGGGAAGCCCAAGGACCGCCCACCTCTATCCAGGCAACCCTTTGTCTTTTATCAGGTCATAGACCTCTTATTAGAAAACAATAATCAAAAGATAAAAGCCACATCCTCCTAAAAAATGTTGTCAACTGACTTTGGGGACAATGATCATAAGTTTCATGGAGCTGCTCCAAAGGACATACCACCACAAAGGGATGAGATTATTCTCGAACACCAGAAAGTAGGTCCTGTTGAGAATTTTTTAGTTGACCCCCAGAAATTCTCAGTTCAATCATTCTCTCCATTGTACAAAAAGGAATCTGAGACACCAAGAGAGGCAGCTTGTCTCAATTGTTCATCCAGTAAGAGAACCCATGTTATTACCTAAGTCTGAGGTTACTCTTGGTTCTTTGTCTCCTTCCTTTTATTATTAAACACACACACACACAAAGAGAAAAAGAGAGAGAGAGAGAGAGAGAGAGAGAGAGAGACAGAGAGAGAGAGAGAGAGAGAGAGAGAGACAGAGAGAGAGAGAGCAGAGAGAGGTGACAGAGAGATTCCTTAGTGATTAAGAGAACTTTGCTACTCTTGCATAAGACCTGGGTTCTATTTCTAGGACCCAGAACCTATATGGTGGCTCACAACTGTCCCTAACTCCAGTTACAGAGGATCTTATGCCCTCTTCTGATGTTGCAGGCACCAGGCATACACATAGCATGCAGACATACATGCTGGCAAAATACTCAAACACATAAATAAATCTAAAGATTTTTTGAATGCATATATATATCCATTGATGATCTGATTCAAACTGATCTAGTTTTGTGGGGCTTTGCTGCTGTTGTTTTGTTTTGCTTCTTTGAGACAGGGTCAGACTTTGTGACCCAGAAAGACCTCAAATTCATTGTGTAGCCCCAGCATGCCTTGAACTCATGGAAACCATCTATGTACTGGGATTACAAGCATGATTACCTGCCTGACTCTTGTTATTTTTAGTTTTGTATATGTATGTATATATGTATATAAGTGTATATATATAATGAATATATGTGGAATACATATATATGGATATTTAGAAAACACACACATATTTCTCAGAGGACTAGAATGTCCACACAAGTTTAAAAACCCATTCTCTTCTCATGTGAGGATCAATAATTCAGTCATTGTTCATTTTCCATTTCCTTTTAACCCGTCTTGTTCCCCACTCTCATGGGGAACATGAGTTGACTTTAATGCCATATACTTGAGCTTCACCTCATAGGCAATTCTATGTAGGGCTAGGAGGGTACCTGGATAATACTCCTTTCCTTCTCAACCCAACCCCAAGATTCTGTGAGATGCTATAAGCAAACAAACTCACAAGATTGCCTGAACCTTACCTACTGTCTATCTCTATTTTGTCCAAGCACAAATTACCCGAAGACTCTATAAGCTTTAGAGTTTGCCAGAACCACTTGTAGAGCATCGTTTAACCTTAGGTCAACTGGAAATTCTACCAGTTATAAAAACTCACAATTTTTGAAAGCAAGAAACCATTCATGGCAGAAAAGTAGCAAAGAATTATTTCCTTTTTTGTACATGGGCTGATGGCAAATTTTATATATCTACCAGGCTGCCCTCAACACAACTGTTTACGAGATGAACTTACAGTTAAAGATAAAAATATTCATCCTTTAAAGAATGAGAGCTTAAATTAAGAAAGGTTTTATTTTTAAAACAAAACAAATACATTGACATACATCCAAATGCCACAGCAAGCATTCATTAGGTTTTATGAGAGGAAAAACTACACTCTGATGTCTACTAAAAACTAAAACAGTTTTAGAACAACCACTGCTTCCGGTGACATGGGTACATGGACATCTAAGCAGCCACTGTATGTTTGCAGCTGTGTGGAATGCATGAGCAGTGTGAAGTAATAGAAGGCGGGGTGGCTACACTCACTCTCAGTCCCTTTTCCCCACTGTGTGCTCTTGTGTTGCCCTGTTGAATCAATCAGCAGGTAAAGGTACAAAGAACTTAATATCAAAGAAACTTCCAAAAGTCAAAAATAGATTCAAGGTCACGGCTAGTTACCCCAGAGGTTGGGGGAGGGGGGTTCTCAAAAGCCATATTTCACAAAATGGCAGGCACTAAATCTAGTCACATGTGCTTGCAATAGAAAAAGAAGCACTGATCTTAATAGAGACTGGTCTTCTTCATGATGCGCAGGAACTCTTGCTCATTGACCTCGCCATCTCCATCTCGATCAGCTTCATCAATCATTTCCTGTATGGCAGTAAGGGCTCCTCTTAGAACAAGTCACAAACTAAACTGAAAAGTGATTAGATAAGAAATTTCAAATAATGCTGTGAGGAAAGATGACTATGGTCCATCTAATGGGAGCATGCCACACACACACACTGTCAAATGCATCTCTTAAAAAGGAGCTAGAAATTTACCCTAGTCTGAAACCCAAAAGAGTACATTCAACTGCACATGTGTATTCCAGAAGCAGGGTCCATGGGTATTAAATTATCAGCTAGGATACTAGCTTCCCTTCTAAGTTGTCCTAGTAGAGAAAATAGAACCTGGGAAAGCCAGCGGGCTCCAGAGAGACCAAGACATTACTCACCTGCAGCTCCTCATCAGTCAAATTCTCACCTAACTCCTTAGCCACACGTTTCAGATTTTTGAATGATATTTTCCCAGTCTCATCATCATCGAAGAGCTTGAAAGCTTTCAGGATTTCTTCTTTGGTGTCTTTCTCGGACTTTAGTAGAACATAAAACACATAGTTACTCATATCCTGCAGCCCTGCCACTTCTTGGTCATCCTTTTGTCTCCAATAACCTGACTTGAGTCATGTTAGGAGCCAGGAAGCCAAGCTCTCTGGTCACGGTAGAATGTACTCCCTGCCTACTTTCTAGCCCATCATCTATTTCATAATCAGCTCGGAATCCAGTAGGAAAAGATGCCAGCTTGGTTGAAAATCCAAGAAGTCCTGCTAAATGTGCATAAAGACTGGTTTGAGGGGTCAATGAATCATTTAGAGAGGACAGACTCATGGTGCAGCTGGACAGTTTTCACAGGTAGAAGACTAGGGCTTCTGAAGTAAGCTGGGGCTCATCTTTCCAATACCCAGTGCTGGGTATTACTAGGGATTGATACTGATTGCCCCTCTTGTGCTTTGTCTTGTTCACAACTTTCCCCAGTTCTAAAGCCAAGGGGGGGGAGTTATAGATTAATTCCCTGGCCCTATTCCACATCATCACATGGGCTTGGAAATAGTCACTGTAATACATGTCCTCAGTCACAGAAAAACAAGGATGACCCATTGTAGAAAAGGAAGAGAAAATCAGTAAACTTAACACAAACTCAAGTGTTACAAAGGAAATGTAATTGTATCTAAAACACTGTACAAACCAAGGATATTCTAGATTCATTTGTAAAATCCAGAAGCAGTGAGTAGGGTTATAATTTAAAAAAAATACACTGCTTATACTAACAGAAGACAGAGATACACTGAAAAGGCAGAGGAAGAGAGAGGCATTTTGCACAATGGACTTTAAAGAATTACTGAGGCCCCGAGTGCTCCAACAGAAAGAGAGTAAAATTTCCAAAAGCATTCAAACCTCGAATATTTCAGGAAGGTTCTGGCCAGGAGTTACAACTGGAGAAAATCCCTAGGAAGAGCAATCTAGGAGCTAATCTTGAATATGAATTCGACTTGCCAGATGGTTGCAGAATACCAAGCTTCCTGAATTCTTAAATCAGTACACATACACACACACACACACACACACACACACGATGTAGGTATGGTGATTTCAAAGCAACACAACTCTTAGATTAATTAAAGAGGTATGGCCTGTGCCCTGGGAAACACTTTGAGGAACCTGAAAGGGGTTACCTTTCTCCGGGTATACTAAGAGAAGGTGATCATGACACACCAACAAGCCAGGAGGCCATTGAAAGAGTAAGCTGGTCGGTTCCGGTGACGTGTTCATGTGCTCTCAAGTCTTTGGACTGCTAAAGGATCTGAGAAACTAGGGATGGATTAAAGTAACCTTAGAAGTACCAAAACAGCCTATCATTTCTAAAGCTCAAAATTCTTGTGCCTCTAATTGTATATACTGAATTGTCAAACTGAGAAGCACTTGTCTGAAAATGCCATAATACCTGATTTATTGTATGCTAATTTAATTTTTAATACCATTAAAATAAAAAATAGAAATGAGAAACATTTGAAAATCTCTGTTAACAGATTTTACTGCTTGTGATTATCATATGAGACAGGGTAAAATGATTTCTGTAATGCTGTGACCATAAAGAAAGCCAAATGAAACTTAGGGATCCTCTAATTAAAAATACAATCCTCCCACTTCTGAATGGACACAGAGGAGAGGATGGGGGAGGTATGGGAGGGAACAGAAAGAGAAGAGGGAGGAGAAACTATGGTTAATATGTAAAATTAGTTAATTAATTAAAAACACAATCCTCAACCATGTGAATGGTATAGATTTTATTGAATATTCTATTTATACCTAGAATCCTATATATCTACTATTATGGATGGGAAATATGTGCATTATCTCAACTAACTTACCATTTTCTGAGTCATCACTGTCAAAAAGTCACTAAAGTTCATTTTTCCTGTCCCTTCCTTATCAATTTCACTTATCATCTTCTTGATTTCTTCTTTCTTGGGTTCAAAGCCCAGGGCCCTCATTGCAACCTACAATGAAAAGAGTACAATCTAAACAAAAGATGTAGAAGAAAAACTGACTGTTGAGGATACTAACCTTGCACCTGATAAAATGATGAAAAATCATTAGGTAACACTGTAATGCTGATTTTATTTATATTTGCAATCAACTTTATCAATTAAATCATTGTTTCAGGTAAAATATACATAGGGTACCTTTTTCCATTACTTTTTATAAGGAGAAGGGAGAAGGTGACAAATAAAGACAAGCAACAGGGAAAGAGAAGGTGGCAAAGCAAGTGTCTGTGCAGCTTGCCTTTAGTTCCTTGACGTCTATAGTCCCAGTTCCATCAGCATCAAAGAGATCAAAAGCTTCCCGGATTTCCTGTTTCTGTTCTTCAGTCAGTTCAGGCTTAGGGCTCATTCTTTTTCTCTGACTACTGGATGCCATGTTTGTCTTCTTAAAATTAGAGGCCTTCAAACATTATACAAACACAGAAGCACTGTATTACAAGTCCATATTTTATTTATGACAGGTCTAGACATTCTGAGTAATGTTCGGATGACATTATACTAACTTTCATAAGCTAGACAACCTAAGTGGGAACCCAGGACCCACATGGTGGGAAGGAAACAACTCTTCCAAGTTGTTCTCTGGCCTCCATCCATGCTCAAGCTAAGCCATGCTCCCCTTTCCCCCCCACACAAACAAGTGTAAAACCTAAACTAAAATTAACTCCAACTCTAAAAAAATAATCCTCTGTGAAAAAACTCTCTCAATTTAAAACTGTTTTAATAAATATATTTTATTTTTTGCCACCACATTGTAAAAATAGAAAATCAGCAATACTCTAATTAAATATGATTGTCTTCTACCACAACATTTCTTAAATCAAAATTTTTCAAATATAAAGAAGCAACATTAAAAAACTCTTTGAATGAATGTAGTGTTTTACCTAAAGGTTTAACATGCTTGAATTTTCTCCTTCTTTTCCAAAGCTAATAAACAGCAAACGTGAGACCATACCTGTTCATCAGGAACACGCGTATCATTTTATTATGAATACACTGTCACAAAACGGTGTGGCTTCAGTTTTCATTACCAAAGATGAAAACGGTCCCTCCATGTTTTAATTCCACTGCTAACTCAGATAGCAGTAATGAATGGAAAAACAGATTGTACCAACCTATTCTAAAGATCTGCCTAATAAATCGAGAGAGAACAAAGTTTGCAGGAAAGAACAATTAATCTTTCCATGAACCTCTGACTCTTTTTTAAACTATTGATTTTAGAAGCCAGGAAATCCCTTATTCTTCTTCGTGAAAGAGAACTAGCTGAGAAACCAATTTGGATATCTAACAGATATCAACTATCCCTGAATCCGGGGATCTCAATTCTAGAAATGTAGTTAAACATCTATTTGTGGGGCTAGTTCCCACGAACTGTGCTCCTCCGATTAATTATGCCTAAATCTGGCCAAAGGTAAAGTTACTGAGATAATTATTATGCCAGTACAAAGTGATACGAACCAATCCATTTGGCACTTACGTGCTTTGTCTGCGAAGCTCAAACACGTTTGCAACCATCAGAACATAGTAAACGTCTTACCACCGTGCAGAAACTTTAGCCAGTTAGCAGCGGCCAGGAGGCCTGAGTCTGACTGAGGTCAGAGTCTGCGGGAAGCCTGAGTGTTCCTTGCAACAGAATGGTCACCCGCAGTTCCAGGAAAATCAGCGGAGGCCGGGAGGCAGGTAAGGGAAAGCTGAAGGTGACTGGAGGTGGGGAGGGAGCAATGGCTAAGTGCAGGCAGGCTAGCTGCAGGCGGCTTTACTTTCTCTCCTACCCTTCCGGCACAGAGCTCCAAGAAAGAACTAGTGCGTAAACCCTGCAGGAAAGGCTCAGGGCCGCAAAGAGGCCTAGGAAGGGCTCGGGGGCGCCGCGCAGAGACCATCGAACGTCCAGCACTTACCATCACCGAATGGACGCCTCAGCAACCAGTTGTTAAGGCAAGGCGTACTAGCGGCCTCCGTGCCTTTCCCACTGCTCCGCGCGCGTGCGCGGCCCCACGTCCATTGGTTTGCGGACAAAGCGGGTGGCGCTAACCTGGCAAAGCCCGCCCCAAGGTTAAAGGGCAGTGCAGCGGCGACAAGGACTGGTCTCATTGGGCAAAATCACGCTGCGAGCGTCAATTGGCTGCGCCAGAGCCGGACGCAGCCAATCGACATGGTGAGGGAAGCTCGGCTGATCGTGGGCTCATACCTCTCCCTAGAAAAGGGTGACTGGTATTGGGTTGAAGTCCGCTGGTTGCAGATTGCTAGCAAGCTGAAGTCGACCGCAAGAGTGTTTAAACCGGGTAAGAGTTGTGGCCTTGTCCTTGGAGGCCACTGCGTGTGGGCGACAGAGCTGGGCGGGAGTGCTGCGGGAGGATGGGTGGGACGTTCTAAAACCTGAGTTGGGGATTCAGCATCAGAGGGGCCAGGAAAGATTTGGAATAACGCGTTGGAGGGGTGACTGAATGGGACAGCTGAGGCCTAGAAAGGGGAGTGGGCATGCCGAGCGTTGTGTCAGCGGTGCACGGGGCTGGGGCTCAGAAACTGAATCTGGGCGAGGCTCTGTGAATTTACCTCTACAAAAACCACTTTAGCTCTCAGGATGATGATCTGGGGACTTTGTGGCTCTAGAAAAGTTATCAAAATGTGCCCCGATAGCTGTGCAGACATTCAAGCCACATGGGAAGGAGCATTGCTGAATGCGACTCTCTTGAAAGCAAAGTTAAAGGAATTTTGGAAATGTTGGCGTGCGTAGGGAATAAAGAGGAATGTGTGCAAGGGGGTGGAGTTCCCTGGAACTATGCCAGGACTAATGGAGATCCAGTGTTGGCTACAGCAGTGTGCCTCAGCTGGCACAGCTGCTTCCCCTCAAGGCATAGAATGTTTAGGGACATTGAGAACATGACATTGGTCTCTCAAACTGAGAAAGGTCAGAGACTTTCTCTGTAGTAGTAATGTAGGCCCTTTGCCCTGTATCCTTGGTGCCATGATCCGGATTCAGAAATTTCGTGTCATATTTGCCTCCTCTGTTCCCTCCAGCAGCAATCCCTCATGTCCAGCCCCTGGGTTCTCTCAGGTCTGTCCTTCCCGTAACCTTAGCCCTTCCTGAGCAGTACGAACTGGAGTTCTCACCAAAGCATGCGAAGCCTGGCATGCAACTCCTCCCGTCATACCCAGTGCTGGTTTTGTGGCCGATACACTCTCCTGCATTGACCATACGCAGTGTCATGAACTTTTTAAAACATAGGATATTTAAGTAATTCTTTGAGAATTTTTGTCACATATGTGTATATGTAGCTCAGACTGTCCTGGAACTCGCTCTGTGGACCAGGCTGGCCAAACTCACGGAGATCCGCCTGCCTCTGCCTCCTGAGTGCTGGGATTAAAGGTGTGCTCCTTTGTGCCCAGCTTGGCAATATATTTCGATCATATCACTGCCTACTCCTTCCAGAGCCATGCACCTCCCACCCTGAACTTTCGCTTCACCTGGCCCTGCATCTCTCCTCCCCACTCCAGTTCTTCAGCCCTTATCGCCTTCTCATTAAAGTAAGCGACTTACTCATTTTGTATACGAGCCCCTCATCTTGCTCTATTTTTTATGGTAGCACTTGTCACCTCATAAGCCACTGTAAATTGAACATTTTTGTTCACTGCTGACACTCTAGTATCTGGAGCAGGGAGGAATATGTGTTAGGTATTCAGTGAAACTTAGTCTATCAGCAAGTTGGTAAGTAGTTTCTTAATTTCCCATAATTTACCTATATACCCCTCTACCAACATACACACATGCTCCACCAGGTTAATTTGCTGTGACCAGCTCTGGTCAGATCAGTCCCCTGCTTATAAACTTCAGTTTAAAGAATAAAGCCCACCGAAGCCTCCTGCAGTTTTACCCCTGCTGACCTTCTTGACTTCATGCCCCTCTTTGCAAAAAGTGATTCTTAAATATTCCTTAGAAGTCCCTGTATTGAGGACTTGGTCCCCACCCATGGTGCTATTGGAAGGTAGTGGAACCTATACAAAATGGGATCTGCTGGGAAACTGTTAGGGCATTAGGGTCATGGCCTGGAAGTCTCTTGCTTCCTGACTGCTAAAAGGTGAACAGTCTCTTGTTTCTTCTGTCAGGTTACTTCATGTGACCAAGCAGCCTACGTTGGTTCTGTCCGCTTGTCCTCCTTAGGACCCAAACACAGCTTTGTCATTCTTTGAAGCTTTTTGTTTTCCACACAAGTTGATGATTTCTTTGAAGGCATGAACTGTGTTTTCACTGGTTTCTACCTAACAGTGGCTGGTGTTTGAAAATTTGTGACACTCGGTCTTATGGGCTCCTTTGAGCCCCATAGCAATCTGAGGTAGGCAGGAAAGATGACTCTTTCCCAGATGCAGCCCCGAAAACAACAGCAACAGGTAATTTACCAGATGGTGCTTGAACCCAGGAGGAGAGCATTGAGAACAGATGGTGAGGAAGTAGAAGCAGGGCTCACAGGGAGCAGTTGAGACTGGCCTTGAAGAATAAGGGAGAACTCACCTTGGCCCAGAAAGGAGATAGGAAAGGAACAATAGAAGCTCGGCTTGGATGTGGTGAGGGACTGCTGGGTGGCCCGTTGCAAATTTAAAGCTGGGTGCTTTCTGTGACCGAAAAGTAATCAAGCAACATGAGGAAGTGAGGGACATGTGGCCTGTGAAAAGACAGAGTCCAGCTGGATGGCTCACCTGAGACCTCTGGAAACAAATGCCCTCCTAAGCACTTTCACCCTGTGCCATGTCTTTGAATTCTGTAGGAAGAGGCCTTACTTCTTCTTCTAATTTTTTTTTTACAGGACCTCTGCTTTGCAGTATTTTCTCGAGATAACGTATCCATTGGGTGAGTAAGTGTTAGCATTGCGGGAGTCCTTGTCTTCCCATTGCATCATCAGACCTGGTCCTGTACAGGGTGCTAAGCCTGACGGGAGTGATGATGAGGCCTAACTATGTCTGAGGCTTGGGTGCCCACTAACTCCACTGATCGATTTGTGCCCTGATCTTGCAACTCAAGCAGCTTCTGTCTTACTTATGTAGAGCCATGTGAGCCATGTCTGTTTGAGGTGCGTAGATGTCAGGTCCCGATAAGTGTGCAATAAAGAGAGGGATGGGGTAAGCACAGAGCTACAGGTTGGCTATCCATCGTCATTAGATGTATGCACAGAGACCCAGGAGAAGGCAAGTTCTGAAATATACTGAACTGATGCATTAGTTACTTTTCTTGTTGCTGTGAGGAAATACCTGGGGAAAAGCAACCTATGGAAGGCAGAGGTTTAGTATGGTATGAGAATACAGTCCATCATGGTGAGGCAGTCATGATGTCAGGAGTGTAAGGTAGCAGGTCATGTTGCATCTGCGGTCAGGAAGCAGAGAACAGATGCTGATGCTCAACTCTCTTTCTTACTTTTTTAAATTAAAAAGAATTAAGATTTTTAAATTTTATTTTACGTGTATAAGCACTGTGTGTGTGTGTGCACCACATGTATACCTAGTGCTAACAGAGGACAGAATAGGGTGTCAGATCCCAACGCACTAGGACAGTTGTAAGCCACCATGTGGTTGCTGGGTACCAAGCACAGTTCTTCCACAAGAGCAGCTGGTACTCTTGACCACTGAGCCACATCTCCGTTGCTTTCACATTTTTATTTAGTCCAGGATCCCAGTCCACGGATAGTGCCACCCACACTCAAGTGTAGGTCTTTGCACCTCAGCTCAGCTTCTCTGGAAATGTCCTCACAGGCAGGCCAAGAGTCTTCCTAGAGAGGGTTCTAAATCCTGTCAGTTTGACAAAATTAATAATGACAACTAATAACTTCCATTATGAGTTTGTAAAACCTCTCTGTAAATGACCCATCAAACATTGAGGGTTGTAATAAGCCATTTCAAGGATATTTGGGTCTTTGATATGCCCACAAAATCAGTACAGTCCTAAAATCAAGTCCTCTAGGGAAATATGATGGCACCCACCATTTGAAAGTGTGGAAATTGGATTGGAGCCATCTCAAGACCCAGTCAGTGCTGACTGCCTGACATTTCTTTCCCCATTGGCATTCTCTGCATCTTCTTTCATAGATAGACTATTATTTCTGGTACATTTTGCCATTTACACATATTGCATCAGCAAATACCTTGTGTTTGCAAGTTGATATTGTGGGTGAAAGAAGAGGGGAGTATATGATGAGGCCTTCACCTGGGCCGCACTTTTCTGTTTGGTAGCATCGATCGTATTTGGTTACTCTTGTCTACCATTGTAAAATGCTTGGTCACCACCATTCTCCAACCACAGCCCAAAGATTTTTGGTTTGAGTAGTGAAGGAGTCATATTTATCTGCTTTCCTGTCCTGCCTTTAATTCAGTGCTCTGTAAATTTCAGGGCCTACCATACCCCGAGAGAGCAGACTCTAGCACAGGGTACTTTGGCCAGTGGGTATAGCTATGGCTCAGCTATTTATGAACACTCGTGATAATAGCTGGAGATGCTTTGCTTCACTTACTATTAATGTCTTTCTCTAATTATGTCTTTAGGAAGAAGAGTTGATTTTGCAAACAAGACTATAGTTTGAGCCATAATGGAACAAGCAGTTGGTGAATCAAAAGAGACACATTCAACAAAAGACATTTCCAAAGTAAGTACTTTAAAAAAGTAGGGGAGGCCAGGCTGTGGTGGTGATTCTTTACATAGGCCAGGTCTTCAAGCTTATAGTGATGTACTTCACTCCTGATACATCACACTTCTTTCCTTCTTTTCTTTTCTTTTTTTTTCTTTCCTTCATTTAGACCAGACTGACCTTGAACTCCCAGAGATCCATCTGCCTCTGCCTCCCAAGTGCTGGGACTAAAGGTGTGTGCAACTACCACCTGGTTCTTGAACCTTCTTTAATGCTTTGGAATGAGCTCTTTTTTTCCATGGAGTGACTTTCAAAGAAATAAATGTCTAAATATAAGCTACTAAGGAAGAATACTTTTGTCTTATATGTTTATTCTAGGTAGGACTGCTATGAAAAAAAACATACATTATCCTGTTGAAGAAAAAGTAAAACCAAAAATATTGGAGAAAACCCAGGGGCCCCAGCCATGCTCTTGAGATTATATTACAGTTGAATTAAATTATTTTGTGGTGCTAGAAATGAAACATAGCCTAACAGATATGCTCCATCACTGAGCTATACACCCACCCAAGTCCATTCCTCTCCTATTCCTAACACTATCATCTCCAAGAGGCTTATTTATCCATTTGGTCCATTCTCAGTACTTGTATCCCATCTGAAAGTTCATTTTTATCAGTATTTATTCTCTTTTTTTCGTCTGCTATGGTCACAAAAAGTTATTGATTATTTCACATGGCCTCCTCACATAGCCTTAGACATAGGATTAAAGACATTTACCTTTGCATGTTTGACATCTCTGAACAGAGGCAAGTTTGATTTCCATCACTATAAAAATCTATTGACTAGCTGTTGGCTCAGTTGTCCCAGGAATAATATCAGTGTAATATATCAGTATAAGGAGGGAATCCATGTCATCCTGTTCATGAATAGATTTACTGATTAATCACATTTAAAATCAGAAATGAGAGCTAGGTATGATGACATATACCTTTAATCCCAGGATTGGGAGGCAGAAGCAGATAAATCTCTATAGGTTCAAGGCCAGCCTGGTCTACATAAGGAATTCCAGGACAGCCAGGGATACTTAGAGAGACCCTGTTTCAACAAATAAATAAATGCTTAAATATGTAAACAAATACAAAATTATAAGGGTTTGTTAAAAGAGAGAGTGTGTGTGTGTAATATATATATATATATATATATATATATATATATATATATATACATATGCCTATACTTGTGTGGTTCATGCACAGATGTTGTAAGGAAGTAGCTTGTTTGTTTCCTGGCCACCCAGACTCCTGAAAAAAATGACACAGAAACTGTATTAAATCACTGCTTGGCCTATTAGCTTTAACTTCTTTTTTTTTTTCCGAGACAGGGTTTCTCTTTAGCTTTAGAGCCTGTCCTGGAACTCACTCTGTAGACTAGGTTGGCCTCGAACTCACAGAGATCCACCTGCCTCTGCTTCCCGAGTACTAGGATTAAAGTGCACCACCACTACCCAGCTAGCTTTAACTTCTTATTGGCTAGCTTTTACATCTTAATTTAACTCATTTCCATTAATCTGTGCATCACACAAGGTCGTGGCCTTCCAGCAAAGTTCCAGAGTGTCTGTCTCTAGTGGCGGCTCCATGGCTTCTCCCTTGACTCTGCCTTTCCCTCCCCTAGCACTCAGTTTAATTTTCCCTGCCTAACTCTGTTCTACCCTATCAGGCCAAGCCAGTTTCTTTATTAACCAATGGTATTCACAGCATACAGAGGGGAATCACACATCACACAGAGATCCGCCTGCCTCTGCCTCCCTAGTGCTGGGATTAAAGGCATGCACCACCACTGCCCTGCTGACACGGGGTATCTTTATTGCTCTCCGCCTATTTCTTTTAGACAGTCTATTGCCATAATAATTATTTTTCTATTGCTGAGATAAAATGCCATGACATAGGCAACTCATCAAATAAAGGGTTTATTTGGGTGTATGATTCCAGAGAGAGAAGGGTCTATCACCACCATGGCAGTAGGCAGACGTGGTGGCTGGAGCAGCAAACTGAACACTCACATTTTGAACTGTAAGCATGAAGCCAAGAGAGAGTTCTGGGAATGACAGGAGACTGAAACTTTAAAGCCCACCCCTCGTGACATATTTTCAGAAAGGCCATATTTCATAAGTCTATCCATACAGCATCACCAACTGGGAACAAGATATTCAAATGCCAAGATTATGCGGGACATTCTTACTCAAACTACTGTACTCTGTAAACTAGAAGGTTGTTGTTTTGCCTAATATGACTGGTCAGCAAGTTCTCCGAATCCACCTGTCCCTTAATCTGGGGTTGCAGGCATGTACAGCCATGCCTGACTTCACATTGGTGCTGGGGATGTGAACTTACCGTATCTTTGCATAGCAAGCCCTCTTAACCACTAAGCCATCTCACCAGTCCCTAAATTGACTTTTTGTAAAACAGTTGGACTCTGAACCTTATGTGATCTCTGAACCTAGAGGTGCTAGAGAGCATCAGCAGGAGCTCTGAGGACTGGCCATAAAAATCAGAGTGGTTCTAAGTGCATATAATATGCCTGTGAAACTGAGGTAGAAAGAGATGGAAGGGAAAGATTGCCAGAGAGGCAGTTGATGGGCAGTGAGGAGGCTGAGCATGTCTACAGATATGAGAGCCATTTTAGAATGGACATCCACAGTAAGAGAGAGAAATCTGCAGATGGTACCTGGCCCTGACAAGTCCTGAGTATGTCACATAGCTTTTTTATGTCAATGTTTAAGGTACAAGAGGGAAGGTTAAGAGCAACTGATGTTCTTCCAGATCCAGGTTCATTTCCCAGCATCCATATATTGGCTGACAACCACCTGTAACTCCAGTTCAGAGGATTTGACGCCCTCTTGTGGCCTTCACAGGCACTGCTTGCATACGATGCACAAGCATACATGCAAGTATACATGTAAAATAAAGATAAATACATACCTATACATGTAAAATAAAGATAAATCATTTTAAGATTATTTAAAAGAGGGGAGGTTGGTTGCTTTATTTTATAATAAGTAACAGAGTTCTTTTTGATCTTGACTATTCACATAGCCAACACTGACTGATTCCATACAAGCTAAGAAAATTGGGTCTGTCATCTTAGGGAAGCCCAGGTACAGCTTAGGGACAGTGGTAGTGTGGTGGGTAATCTTCATTGTTAAGAGAACTAAATTTGTAGATGCCTAGAAGACAAGCCTCTGAGGATGTCTGTGAGGTTGTTTCCAGATATGTGTAACTGATGAGGGAAGACCTGCCCTAAATGTTGCTGAAGCATCCCATGTGCTAGAATCCCAGACTCAGTGAAAAGGTGATAGGAAAAAGTCAACCAAGCGCCAGTGTGTGTGTGTGTGTGTGTGTGTGTGTGTGTGTGTCTGTACCTTCCTCTCTTCTGACCAGAAATGCAGTATGGCCACCTGCCTCTCCTGCTATCATGTCTTATCACCATGATGGCCTGTATCCTTTAAACCATGAGCCAAAATAAATCCTTCTTTCCTTAAGCTGCATCTGATAGATATTTTCTTACAGCAGTGAGAAAAGGTTACTGATAAGGTCTCCAGATTATTGAGCAGATGCCAGCGAACATTTGCATTGACATCCTAAAGTTCTAATACTTATACACCTACAGGTAGTATACTATCCTTCCATTACCCCACTTCCCAGAGTCTGAATTTAGCCAAGAAATTGGATGCACTGGGGAAGCTGGAATCTAAATACCACATCCCAATGCTGAGTCATCCATTTATTCCTCTGAGTTCCGAGAAGGCACAGCAAAGCCCTGGGTCTGAGTGATAAATGGCTCCCTGGTTCTATATGGAGATCCTAGTAGCGTAGCACTTAATACGTGGGCTGAGGCCAGAAGGGGTTAAGTGGTCATCCCAGAGCCACAAGATCCACCCTCCTTATGGGCATGGAGGCAGAGAAAATCACTGTCCTTTGAGTTTGGAAACGGATGCTTTCATTAGAAACTCTGAAATAGCTAGATTTTTTTTTTCTGGCAAGGGATTACCAATCAGGAACAAGAAGGCACAGCCTTTGGCTTTTTGCTTGTTTAGATTGTCTGGTGTGATCATAGGACTTTTAATTCCCTTCCACTAAATATAAGGTGGGGATTATGTCATCAAATCTACCAGTCTAGCCTAGAGTCATTTGTTTTCTCTCTCCTTCTTGTTAAACCCAAGAGAACAGGTGACACTGTTGATCAAACACAGCTATACTAAGCTTTTCCCTGAGCTCAGGCAGTTTCAGACAGACAGATGTATATGCCATTGCAATGGCTCCTGGTACGTAAGTCTGACCTTTATCATGTTAGTCTTCACATTTCTGGTCCTCTTGCCATTCCCTCTTTCCCCAGGCCAAGAAGTGCACGGTGATTGGAGGCTCTGGGTTCCTGGGGCAGCACATGGTGGAGCAGTTGCTGGCACGAGGCTATGCTGTCAATGTATTCGATATCCGCCAAGGGTTTGATAACCCCCAGGTGCAGTTCTTTATAGGTGATCTCTGCAGCCAACAGGTAAGGGACCTACTCTGCTTCACTAATCTCCTGTAGGACCCCCCAAAGGCAAAACCAGGTGCTCAAAGGCCAAGAAAACTATAGTTTGAATATATACATACATACACATATGTATATATATATATATATATATATATATATATATATATATATATATATTTCAGCAGTCATTCGCCATTATTGACTTCCAGAACATGTTCACTTCCAAAGGAAATCTTGTACCTGTTCACTTCCCACTCTCATCCCAGCCCTGCTCATTCACTTCAGTTGTTCCATTTTCTCTGTTCTGCAAAGTTCATAGGTGGCAAGATTTTTTGAATATTTGTAGGTTTTGCAGTGTAGTAAGAGCTGCAGGCTGCTTCCTGCCTCCCAGCTCTTGGCCACTGGCTAGCTTTACCCAAATAATTACACGGAAACTGTATTCTTTTAAACACTGCTTGGCCCATTAGCTCTAACCTCTTACTGGCTAATTCTCACATCTTGATTAATCCATTTCTAATAATCTGTGTAGTACCACGAGGTGGTGGCTTACCGGGAAGGATCTTAACCTGTGTCCATCTTAGAGAGGAGAGCTATAGCATCTGCCTGAGGCGTCTGCCTCATTGCCTTCTTCCCAGCATTCTGTTCTTTCTACTCCACCCACCTAATTTTCTGCCCTATTAAAAGGCCAAGTCTCTTTATTAACCAATGAAAGTAACACATAGACAGATGACCCTCCTACATCAGCAAAGTTGCTCAGCAAAGCTGTTGGGTCTGTTTATGGCAACCATCCATAATCATTTCTTCTCCTTCACAAGTGACTTCCACAATGGTTTCAGCATTTCTGGTACTCTTGTTGAATTGGATGCTTAAGAAGATAGCCTTGCTGGTTTTGTCTCTTCTCCTTTGCAGTTAATGCTCTACTCCTCTACTCCCATTGTAATTCCCTAGCCCAGACCTGTCCTCCCCAATAAGTACATTCTCTCCATGGCAGACACGGCATGTTGGGCACTGTTTTACCTCTTCCTGGTCCTGCTCTCTACCACTGCAGCAGGAGCAACTGTGGCCATTTCTACTGTCACTGTCTTTACTGTTTCCTCACCAGCTTTGGCTCCATAGCCCCTTTGTTGTCCAGCACCATTCTCTTCAAGTCACATGTCATCCAGGGTTCTCCAAAGAGACAGTCCCCAGTGGGCGAGAGAGGGGCTGTGCACAGGGCAAGAAGGCGAAAACAACTGAGATTGAATTCAAAGAAGAAGTTTATGTGGTTGTGGGGGGAAGTGTGAAGTTAGTGGGACAGGCAGGAACCTTGGGGAGAACGGACACAGTGTCCTGATTAGAACCCCCGCCTCTTAGAGAAACCTGCTTTGTTCTTAGGGTTTCTTCACCAAGAGTTTGAAGGATATTGTCCTTTTGTCTGAGCAAATTCTCCTTCAGGTTGTAGCCCCAGCACTCTAAAAGTCTGCCCACACCTGTATCTGATTCTCTAGTCACACTCAGCATCTCCGGTGCAGGCAGGGACTGGGGACAAGGTGCACTGGACCAGAGCAGGCATTTGTCAGACAAATGGGATAAAGGGTCAGAGGAGTAAGGCAAAGCTCCAACAGTGGGTTCTGAATTCTGAGCTAAGGAAAGAAAGGTGGACATGATGCAGGTAAGAACATGACAGGGGAACATTTAAAAATAATCCTTTTGCCTCAGCCTCCCAGTGCTGCCAGCCGCAGGACCCCCTTTCAATGCACTCTATTTAGGTCCTGGTTCTGCCTTCCAAGCAACCAGATGTTTGGTTTTGGTTTTAGTTGGTTTGGTTTGTTGTTGTGTTATTGTTTTTTTTTTTAACATGGATCCTAGGGCTCCAACTCAGACCCTTATACTTGCACATCAAGCAGTTTGCTGCCATCTTCTCGGTGTGTCCATCTCCCTATCCACAGTTACTTTGAAGCCAATCTCCAACATATCTATCGGTCCATGTGTAAACATTTCAGTTTTTATCTCTAAAACATAAAACTCATTTTTATGGAAAGCATTACATAATTGTCAGTCTCAGAGACACCATTAATAATAATAATAATGCTCCTTAATGTCAGTCATTCATTAACTACTTCATAGGACATCCATATTTGTTTTTTCAAATAGAGAGTTAAACACAGTTGAGACTATTTGATTTCTAAGTTCCCAAGATGCTGTAGTATGTGTGTTGACTTAGTGGTGCTTAGCTTGTTCATCATCGAACAGCATTTCCTAGAGTCTGGATGTTGCTAATTGCATCTTCAGGACATCAGCATGTCTCTGCCACCTGCTGTTTCCTGTGAACTGGTACACTGTCCAGTGAGGCAGGCACTGGGCACATATGCCCATCTAGCACTTCAGTTAAGACAAGTCTGCACTGAAAGACACTTTAAAATACAAGTTGAATTTCAAAGACTGAGTACAAAACCAATAAATACCTTAATAGTTTTACATTGATTATGTCTATTGCTATAAAATTTAGACTTTGATAGGATGTGTATTTTGAGACAGGGTCTTGCTTTGTAGTTTAGGCTGGCTTGAAACTTATTACTATGTTGAGCATACTGGCTTCCTATTCACACCAATCCTTCTGCTTCCAGCTCCCAAATGCTGGGATTGCACATATGAGGCACCACATCCAATTTCATTTATTTCTATAGAACTAAAGACTTGGTGTGGTTCAGGTCCCCCCATCCTGGTGCATCATGGCTACAAACCCCTATGCATGTATACACACACATGAGAGAGAAGAGAGAAAGAATAGATATAGCAGAGATATAAATATTCATCCACATTTCCTAGTTCACAGTTCCTTCTCTAATGCAGGCTATAGGAACTACAATTCATCTTCCTAAAGATGAGTCTTATGTGCTTTTCCCCACCCAGTGTCAGAAGGGATCCATCTCCATATCTAGGAGGAAGGAATGCTACACAGAGCAGCCAAGAAGAATCTGACCTGCCAGACCTTGCCAGGCTTCCGTTTCACTTTCCTTATTTCTATGCTTCAGTTTTGCTTATGTCGTGAGACTGGAGGCTAGTGCACAGGTGGGTGGGGAAGCCCCATACCACTCATTTACACCTCATCCTGTGCATCTCTTTACCGGTACCCTTTGTACTTCCTGTATAGCAAGTCAGTAAATGTGCTTACCTGAATTCTGTTAGCCACTTGCACAAGTTAGACAAAACCATAAAGGGAATCTGGAAATGGCCAAAACTATTAAGTGAATATAATCGTGAATGAACAAACAAATGCAAATAGAGCAAAAGTCAATAAATTAACCTCCCTGGTCCTGTGAAATATTACAGGAAAGCAAAACTCAGGGGATTGCTCCAGATTAACAGAAATGAAAAGAACTCAAGGTTCACATATGAGTGGTCCACATTTGGACCCTAAACCCCCAAATAAAAACACGTATAAAGGATATTGTCATAATGGTTAGGAAGGCTTAAATATGGAGTAACAAACTTAAGAGTAGCTAGGAGATAAGGAGATAGCTTAGTGAGTAAAAGCACTTGCTATTAAAGCAAGAGTTCAAATCTCCGAGCACACAAACAATCCCAAGCTATGCATGGTCATGCAAGCCTATGAGCCAAGTATTAGAGAAGTGGAGATGGGTAAATTTCAGGAGCTTGTTGGCTTGTCAGCCTACTGAAACTACAAGGTGTCTTTTAAAATGTGAGAACTGGAGACAGACGAATCTCGTGAGTTTGAGGGCAGCCTGATCTACATAGTAAGTTCCAGGCCAGCCAGACTGATTACATAGTGAGACCCTGTCTCAAAAAGGGAGGGGGGAGATATCCTACATTGTCTTCTGGTATCCACACATGTATGCGCGCGCACACACACAACAATATAAAATTTAATTTTGAAAAGAATATCCTATGTGTTGGAGTGTGCCTTCTGTTCATCATTTGATAGTTATTTGGGCCTAGAAGGTGACTCCTTACTCTCAAATGGTTTCCCAGAACTGTTATGTTTGTGTATAGTGACAAAGGATTTTATGGCATCTAGTGATTTTTCTTTCTTCTGGTGATAACCATGAATTTGGAGATTTGGCACAATGGTGGCATTTTGTCATTCTGTTCATTTAGCCCCTCAGATCTTTTTTGCTCGAATTAATCAATTATTCTCTATTCTCCACTTTCACTAACCACTCTTATTCTAACTGCTGAGCAAATAGCCTCCTCATTGGCCAGTAGGAGTCTCTGTGTGCTGGTTCTTAAGTCTTTGAAGCCTCCAGCAGGCTTGGAGAGCCTCTTTACTTCACAATATGAAAAGGCCTTCCTGGTTTATTTAGTGTGTTTACGCCCAGATCTGCAGCCGCCTGTTTGTCTTACAAGGTTCCTTCTAGTAAGTGAAACTGAGTCACTGTATGCCTCTTCCAGTCACTGCGGTGTCTGACTTCTCATACTCCCTTTTTATTCTGGACAAGGTAATTAAAGGGGCAATTCAAAGAAAACATGGTTTTATCCCACATACTCCTGTGTAGTTTGAGTCTTTTACAAAGCATATGTTTCTGTGTTGCTTACAGAATTATAAAAATCCAAAAGGCCTACAGGCCACAGATGACCGAGAACGTGAGAAGGCTGGAATGATTCTTTTGTCTTGTGTGCTTTTCCAGGACCTGTACCCAGAAGGCTGGAACGAGAACGTGAGAAGCTGGAATGATTCTTTTGTCTTGTGTGCTTTTCCAGGACCTGTACCCAGCTCTGAAAGGTGTAAGCACAGTTTTCCACTGTGCGTCACCCCCACCATCCGGTAACAACAAGGAACTCTTTTATAGAGTGAATTTCATTGGCACCAAGAATGTCATTGAAACCTGCAAAGAGGCTGGGGTTCAGGTAAGGGAAATGCTGCGGTAACTAGTATCTGGAGCATGGGCTTGCTTTCTCAGAGGGAGGGGAGGTGGAGTTGTTCCCTTTAACCCTCTTCCTGGGCTTATCCAGGGTTGCCTCTTTCATGTTAAGAAGATACTAAAAATTAAGCCCTGGGCACCAGTTGATGTCACAGAGGGCCAACCAGTTGAGGTTATACTCTTCCAATACAGATAGACCATCTGAGTGTTCAGATAGGCTAAGGCTTATTCATTTTTGCTTCAAGAGATATGAAATTTTGATGTTGCTTGTTTTCTCTGTTGAAACAACGTGTACATAATGTTTTCAATATACTTTGTAACCACTGTAACCCTTTTGCAAGTATGCATTCGGTGATGTTAGCTATATTCACTTCATTATCTGTTATCACTGTCTTCTCTATCCATGCAGTAGACAGAAGTTCTGCAGTCTTCTGCCCCTCCCTGGCTCCTGGCAGCCACTATTCTCCACTTCTGTCTCTTACTATCAAGTGCATTCAAACAGGTTTTATCCTTTCGTGGTATGCTTCTTGTACTTACCACAATGTCTATAAGGTTTATCTACATTGTAGTTCGTCAGAATTTCCTTCATTTTTCAAGACTAATACTCCCCATTTATGGATGGAGAGACTGAGGAAGACCTCCACCATAGACCTCTGACCTCCGTACATACACACACTTCCATGCACATGAAAGAGAATAAATAGCCATCAGTAGACGTTTGTGTTGCTTTTGCCTTTGGGCTGCTATGAATTATACTTCCGTGAACAGAGACTACAAATGCCTGCCTCAGTCCTCACTTTTGATTCTTTTGGGTAGCTACCCAGAGGTGGGATTCCTGGATCAGAAGTTAATTTTGTGCTGAATCCTTTAAACAGTTCCTCACATTGTTTATCAAACTGCTTTCATTTAAAAGGGGGGCACTACTGCTTTTACATGATAGCAACCTATGCTGACTTAGGCCGAAAAGCATACAAATTTTAGCCGTGTATCAGCTTACAACACTTAGAGATCTGTGAAACTGAGAAAAGGGTACAGAGAGTAGGGGCTCTTCTTCCAGTTATCTTCCTGGGGACCTTTGGCCAGTTCCCAGTAATCAATGGGTCCAATATGAGTAGGTGAGGAGGGAGCTCTTCTGTATTCCCATCAGTTAAAATTCCCATTGGGTAATCATATTACATCTGTAAGCAGGAAGTAGAGAGAAATGAATGACAGTATTCAATTAACTTCCTGTTCAGGACCTCAGCCCATGATCCCATTCAGGGTGGATTTCCTTCCATAAGCTAAACCCCTCAGGCATGCCCAGCTGTGTACTTTCTGGGTGATTCCAAACCCATCAGAACCAACTGTCATACTCAGGTATGCTTTGTACTTGACAGGAGCTTTGCCCTACTGTGTTTGTCACCTACTTTTCTTTTCCTTAGGTAGCCAGGGGCTAAGCAAAGTCTCCGCTAGTAAATAAAAGAGGTGGGATTCAAAGCAGGCCCTCTGCTGCCACGTTCCAGACTCTCCACTCCAGGATGTGTATGTAGCTGGAGTTCTGTGAAGCCCCCGCTGCTGTGAAATGGAAGGCACAGAACAATACAGTGGATGTAGTGCTTACTACTAGCATGACTGAAGCCACCTATGCCCCTTCCTCATTGCCACTGCCCCTTCTTCACCCATGTGGGACAGTGGTTCTAAACCTGCACTTGTTATTCCTATTAGTTCCATGCACTAACAGCATGTTGTAGAACTTTGGAGCACTAATATCATGTCATGCTGAACATGTCTTTCTGAAACTTTATGCATTTTGAGAAATATATATATATATATATATACATATATATATATATATATATATATCTTGTTTGTCCTCTAAGAGGGTAGATAGCTTAGTGTGTAAGGCCGAAGAGAAACTGATTTTCCAACACCAAAACCAAAGTCTTTAATGCATTTTATCTCAAATATTTAAAGTGTTACTTTGCATATTTAAATCTAATTAACCAGGAATCTATGATATATGCAACAGGATCAAGATCAATTTTTTTTCAAATAATTCAGCATGCTGATGGCTTAATCCAAACTTTGTGCACATATATCCTGCCTGCATCATCCTTTGAGCATCCTGTTTTGCCTGAATTTGTTCCCAGGTTTTCTGTCTACTGCACTGACCTCTCTGATCTCATGGGTATAAGCTCTACCTTAGCATACATATCAGTATCTGACCAGCTTCTTCGAAGATCCCTTAGCTACTCTGAGCCTTTTGTTCAAGTTTTCCCCTCCACTGTAGAATCAGCTTGTCAAGTTACTTGATGAAGCTGCCTGGGATTGTTACTGCAGTTGCATTTATGTTCTGGGTAATTTAAAAAAGATCTGATGTCTTTCTAACATTGACTATTCCTATTTATGATGAAACATCCCCCATCTGTAATGCCACTCAGTGATAATTGTACTGTACTTCACAGAGGTTTTATATATCTTTTATTATACTTACTCCTGTGAACCCCATCATTTGTTAATCACCAACTTATACTACATTTTCAGTTACTGTTAATGTTTAGGAATACAGCAAATTTTCATAGATAGGTATAGAAATAGATAGATTTATAGTGGTTTTACGGGGTTTTGTTTGGTATTTATTTGTGTGTGTGTGTGTGTGAGAGAGAGAGAGAGAGAATGTGAGTGTGTGTGTGTGTGTGTGTGTGTGTGTGTACAGAACTTTCAGAGGCCACACCAAAGGCATCAAATCCCCTTGGAACTGTAGTTACAGGTGGTTGTGAGTCATATAATATAGGTGCTGAGAACCCACCTCGGGTTTTCTTCAAGAGCACTAAACACTCTTAACCACTAAGCCATCTCTCCAGCTTCTAATTTCCTTATATTGATTTTGAATTCAGCTAGTTTGCTGAACCCTTAATATTTTCTGTAGGCTTACCCACTCCATGTAGGCATTGTATATTCTTTATTTAAAAGTTTTTTTCTTCGTTTTACATCCAACAACAGTTCTCCCTCCCTCACCATCCCTCCCCACCCAATCACCCATCCACTCCTCAGAAAGGGTAAGGCTTCCCATAGGGAGTCAACTATGGAGGGATACCTTGCTCAGCCTCAATACAGCGGGGAGATGTTTGGTCCTGTCTCAACTTGATATGTATTGTATCTTTTTATTTCTATCATCTACTATGGCAGTAGTTCTCAACACGTGAGCCACAACCCCTTTGGGAATCAAATAACTGAAAGATGTAGAAATGCGATATGCAGGATATCTAATATAGGACATATATAACATATTAGATATCCTGTATATCATGTTTACGTTACAATTAGTAATAGTAGCAAAATTAAAGTTATGAAGTAGCAATGAAATAATGTTATGGTTGTGGTCACCACATGAGGAACTGTATATTAAAGGGTTACAGCATTAGGAAGGTTGAGAAACACTGGACCAATGAGATTAGTTTGGTGTCTTGTTTTTTTAAAACATAAATTGGTGTTTGTTTACCTCTGTAGCTAGGATTTATAGAATGATATAGAATAAAAGCAGTAAAAAATATAACTAACAGAACCAATGATGTCAGTATCAGATGAACTGCTCTTAACCAGAATGATGCAATCTGGGGACCTGCAAAAGATATAGCCTGCCTGCCTGCCTGCCTGCCTGCCTGCCTGCCTGCCTGCCTGCCTTTTATACTGCTGCTGTGAATTGAACCTTACACATGCTAGGTGCTTGTCTCTACTAGCAAAGCATGCCTTAAGTTATGTGCATATGCATATGCTTTTATTTATATGGCAAGATTGGTATCAGAGTATCCAGTGGAATTTTGCAGGCAGAAATTTCCCTACTGGTTGGTAGTCCATCCTTCCCTCCATGGAGGCGCCCTCCCATAGAGATCTATCATGAATAGTGTTAGTTTTATTTCCTCCCTTAGATATGATAGGATGGGAAAAAATGAGATCCATTATTTTAAACTGTAATACCATAATGTGTCTAAAGTCCCTATGGCTACAAGGTTTTCTTAGAAGACTTAAAAAGAAAATATACTCCAGCAAGTAACTTTGAAGTGCCTTGTGGATGGGGCTCGCTCATATATGACACTTAGGCAATTGGAGTAGCAAAACTTCCTGACTTTTGTTTTCCTTTAAATGTTTCTCTGCCAGAAATTGATTTTAACCAGCAGTGCTAGTGTCGTCTTTGAGGGTACGGACATAAAAAATGGAACTGAGGACCTCCCTTATGCCTTGAAGCCCATTGACTACTACACAGAGACCAAGATCTTGCAGGAGAAAGTATGTACTTCAAAGCCAATTAAATGAACAGATACCTCAAGTGTCTCCATTCATAAGAAAAAAATGTCTGTGAATATGGAAAAGTTAGTATTTTGAGACCCAAGTACCCAACATGAAATGTAAATTCATTTGCAGAATTAAATTCAAAAGGACAGAATGATATACTGTGGCCAAATACTATTCTCAATATTTTCTGGGGACTACTTCCTTTAACCTCCAAAAATATCTAATACGACAGGCACTTTTACCAGATGACAGGAAAATACACTGATTAAAGAGGGTGTAATTGTGGGCTGAGCACTGAGGTCACCTGGACACTGGAAACCCTGTACTACAGGCTGGGACAGCCCTGGGCCCTTACAGTTACTTGGGCAGCTATGGACTTGTTTCCTAGGCCTTTCCAGCACATTACACACTGAGGCTTGCTCTCCAGGCCAGTACTTGGAAACTGAAGCTCACTTCCATCTCAGAACAGGACACAGTCACATGGAGGCCACAACAGAGCCTGTTCTCACCTAGTTAAGAAGTCCTGCCGGGCAGTGGTGGCGCACGCCTTTAATCCCAGCACTCGGGAGGCAGAGGCAGGCGGATCTCTGTGAGTTCGAGACCTGCCTGGTCTACAAGAGCTAGTACCAGGACAGGCTCCAAAACCACAGAGAAACCCTGTCTTGAAAAACCAAAAAAAAAAAAAAAGAAGTCCTATGCCCAGGCTATGCCCTCCTGTTCTATGGAGCTAGGCTTACGGGAGACCAAAGCCTACCATGGGCTTCCAGACAATACTAGTTAGCTCAGAGGCCCTGTACACTGTCACCTAAGGTGCTAGGCTTCCAGCCCACAGCTCAGTTGGCTCATGATCTCCAGATGGAAGCCTGGGCTCAAGCCATTAATATGTCACTGGCGTGAACTCAACTAGAAGTCAGAAAAACTGAAGGAGACTCCAGCAGTAACTTACCTTGTTTTCAAGATCAACATCACCCGAAACACTCTTCATAATAAGTCTTCTTTGGGATTTGTCTAGCAACTTTTCAAACATAGAGATAACCATGTCAGAGGCCGTTTGAAGGCTTGGCCATTCCCCTCAGCATCACAGACACTTAGCAGCATTTGAGGGGAGTGGGGTCAGGAAGCTGTGATTGCCATATACTCGATTGAAAACTAGCTTAAAGTGGCTAGGACTATAATCTTTATATGTATGTGTCCTTGTGCTCTGTTGGCCAAGCTAACTCCCGAGCTATCTGTCTGTTGTTGAGTGGACTGTTCATTGCATGGTGAAGAGTATGTTTGAAGCCTTGTACACGCCACTGAATTCAGGAGCTCTTTTGGTTTGGTAGTAGCCTTGCTGGAGGCTCAAGTCTACCTCATTAACTAAAACTCTCAGGCCTTTTCCATAAATTGAAGCCAAGATACACCTTCTGGCTACATGTGTGTTTGGCCATTGAACCTGACCTGAGCTTTCTGATTTCATCCTAGCAGGTATTAGCCAGTTTTCTCCTTCACTGTTGATTTCTCAGAATTATAATGTGAGATGTTGTGCCAAGACAGACAACTACCCAATGGCCTGCACATACACTGAGTATGTCATTCATCTGTCTCCACATACAGTAAGGTACCATCTTAGCCAGGAGAAGTCTTACAGTGCCCCTTTCTCTCTTGATTTCTTTCAGGCAGTACTGGATGCCAACGACCCTGAGAAGAATTTCTTAACCACAGCCATTCGTCCTCACGGCATTTTTGGCCCAAGGGACCCCCAATTAGTCCCCATCCTAATTGATGCGGCTAGAAAGGGCAAAATGAAGTTCATGATTGGGTAAGGCAGCTTCTATTGGTCATTCTGTTCCCTTCAGATTGTGAGCACACGTGCAGCACACGCAGATAATAATTAAGAGTGCCAAGAAGCATCGTGTAATAGTCGGAGTCTGTTCAGGCTTCAGTAACAAAAAGCTATAGTTTAGATAACTTCACAAACAAGTAACTCACAGCTCACAGATCTGGAGACTGAAAAGTATTGTTGGTTGATTTTTACTCTTTGTTCTTTGTTCTTTGATGGGCCCATCACCCATCTCCCAAAAAATCACGCCAGAGACTATGAATGCCCGGCCTTAGCTTAACTTATTTCTAGCTAGCTTTTCTTAACTAAGTATCCCATCTACCTTTGCCTCTGGGCTTTTTCTCTTTCTCTCTTTCTTTCTTTCTTTCTTTTTTTTCCGAGACAGGATTTCTCTGTAGCTTTTTTTGGTGCCTGTCCTAGAACTCACTCTGTAGACCAGGCTGGCCTCAAACTCACAGAGATCTACCTGCCTCTGCCTCCCGAGTGCTGGGATTAAAGGCGTGCGCCACCATCGCCCAGTGGGCTTTTTCTTTTTCTTCTCAATATCCTACTTTCACTCTTACTCCATGGCTGACTGTGTAGCTGGATGGTTGGTCCGTGGTGTCCTCCTCTCCTTCTCTGGCTCCTAGATCTCCCTTTTTCTCCTTCTGTTTATTCTCTCTATCTACCAGCCCCACTTATCCTTCATGCTGTCTTATTCTTGGCCATTCAGTTCCTGTGTTTTAGACAGGCAAATAATCATAGCTTCACAGAGTTAAACAAATGCAGCATAAAAGAATGCAACACATCTTTGCATCATTAAACAAATGTTCCATAGCATAAACAAATGTTCCACAACAGAGGAGTCCAAGATCAGCTATCAGCAAAATTGGTGTCTGCTAAGCATCTAATCCTCTTACCTGCTGTGTATCTTTATGTGACCCAAGGGACAAATAGGCTCTCTCAAGCCTCTTTTATAAGGGCATTGATTCCATTCATGAGAGCAGGGCTCTAACAAGAATATTGAGGAACACAAACATTCAGAAACAGTTCTTCTTTTTTCCTAGATTGAAATATTTATTTATTTATAAAAAGAAAACAAACTTTTTACATTATATACCAATCCCAGTTCCCACTCCCTTCCCTCCTCCCATTCCCTCCACTTACCTCCTTCCCAAGCCACCCCCATCCACTCCTCAGAGAGAGTAAGGCATATTGCTTTGGGAAAGGTCCAAGGCCCTCCCTACTATATCTAGACTGAGCAAGGTATCCATCCAAAAAGAATGGGTTCCCAAAAGGCCAGTACAAGCAGTAAGGACAAATCCTGGTGCCACTGCCAGTGGCCCTCAGTCTGCCACAGCCATGCAACTGTCAACCGCATTCAGAGGGACGAGTTTGGTCCTATGCTGGTTCCTTCCCAATCCAGCTGGAGTTGATGAGCTCCCATTAGCTCAGCTAGACTGTTTCAGTGGGTGAACCCATCATGGTCTTGACTTCCTTGCTCATATTCTCATTCCTTCCACTCTTCAACTGGACTTTGGGAGCTCAGTCTAGTGCTCCAGTGTGGGTCTCTGCCTCTGTCTCCGTCAGTTGCTGGATGAAGATTCTATGGTGATATTTAAGATATTCATCAGTTTGACTACAGGACAAGTCAAGATCAGGCACCCTTTCCTCTATTATTTAGGGTCTTAGCTGGGGTCACCCTTGTGGATTCCTGGGAATTTCTCTAGAACCAAGTGTCTTGCTAACCACATACTGGATGCCTAAATCAAGCTATCTCTTTCCTTGCTCTCTTCTCTGTCCTTCCTCCATCTCAACCATCCTGTTCCCTCAAGTTCTCCTCCTCCATTCCTTTCTCTCCTCCTCTTCCCCTTCCTTCCTCTCTTCTCCCCTTGTTTCCATACTCCCAATTTTGTTAGGTGATCTTGTCTATTTCGACTTTGCAGGTGGATCTATATGTTTTTCTTGGGGTTCACCTTGTTACATAGCTTCACTAGGATCATGAACTATAGGCTCTATATCCTTTATTTATAGCTAGTATCCACTTATGAGTGAGTACATACCATATTCATCTTTTTGGGTCTGGATTACCTCACTCAGGATAGTGTTTTCTAGTTCAATCCATTTGCATGCAAAATTCAAGATGTCATTGGTTTGTTTGTTTTTTTTTTTTGTTTTTTTTTACCGCTGAGTAGTACTCTAATGTGTAAATGTGCTACATTTTCTTTATCTATTATTTGGTTGAGGGGCATCTAGGTTGTTTCCAGGTTCTGGCTATTACAAATAATACTGCTATGAACATAGTTAAACAAATGTCTTTGTAGAATAATTGAACATCTTCTGAGTATATGCTCAAGAGTGGTAGGTTGATTCCCAATTTCCTGAGAAACCGCCACACTGATTTCCAAAGTGGTTATACAAGTTTGCATTCCCACCAGCAGTGGAGGAGTGTTCCCCTTGCTCCACATCCTCTCCAGTAAAGGCTATCATTGGTGGTTTTGATCTTAGCCATTCTGACAGGTGCAAAAAGGAATCTCAGCATTGTTTTGATTTGCATTTCCCTGATGCCTAAGGATGGTGAACATTTCCTGAAGTATCTTTTAGCCATTTAAGATTCTTCTGTTGATAATTCTCTGTTTAGTTCTATACCCTATTTTTTAATTGGATTATTTGGTAGTTTGATATCTAATTTCTTAAGTTCTTTATATATTTTGGAGATCAGTCCTTTGTCTGATGTGGGGTTGGTGAAGATCTTTTCCCATTCAGTAGGCTGCCTTTTGTTTTATTGAATGTGTCTTTGCTTTACAGAAGCTTCTCGGTTTCAGGAGGTTCCATTTATTTATTTTTGCTCTCAGTGTCTGTGCTACTGGGGTTATATTTAGGAAGTGGTCTCCTGTGCCCATGCACTGAAGGCTACTTCCCACTTTCTCTTCTATCAGGTTCAGTGTGGTCGGAATCATATTGAGGTCTTTAATCCATTTGGACTATAGTTTTGTGCATGGTGATAGATATGGATCTAATTTTATTCACGTGTTGACATCCAGTTATGCCAGCACCATTTGCTGAAGATGCTTTCTTTTTTCCATTATTTTAGCTCCTTTGTCAAAAATCAGGTGTTCATAGGTGTGTGGATTAATATCTGGGTCTTCAATTAGATTCCATTGGTCAACCACTCTGTTTTTATTCCAAGACCAAGCTGTTTTCTTTACTGTAGCTCTGTAGTAGAGTTTGAAGTCAGGGATGGTGATGACTCTGGAAGTTCCTTTATTTACAGGATTGTTTTGGATAGCCTGGGTTTTTTGTTTTTCCATATGAAGTTGATTATTGTCCTCTCAAGGTCTGTGAAGAATTGTGTTGGGATTTTGATGGGGATTGCTTTTGGTAGGATTGCCATTTTTATTATGTTGATCCTACCTATCCAAGAACATGGGAGATCTTTCCATTTTCTGGTATCTTCTTCAATTTCTTTCTTCAAAGACTTAAAGTTCTTGTTGAATAGGTCTTTGACTTCTTTGGTTAGTGTTACCCCAAGATATTTTGTTATTTGTGGCTATTGTGAAGGGCGATTTCTCCAAAGTACTGGGATTCAAGGCATGAACCCCTCACTGCACCTGGTGCCTTTTACATTTCTTTTTTCTTCTTTATCCCCGTGTGTTGTTTTCCTGTACTTATTAAATCTCACTGATGTTCTGATCTAAGGCTTTGAGGGATTACAGAGGCAGTGAGAGAAAACTGGAAGACCATTGGCCTGGTGTATCCTTGGAAAGTATTCAAGGTCTGTACCTCAAATCAAAGGTCAAGAAGACACACTAGTACTGGTCATGCTGGGGCATGCAAGACACCACAGTCTCCCATTCATTGGTTGATCCTTCAATATCTCACTGCCCCAAAGGTCCTGGTCATTCTGCATAGTCATATTTCATTACCTGTTGCAATCACACAAGTGTGCCAGAGACAGGCACTGATAAGAAAGAAGTGGGTTAGTCTCTCAAATGTCTTTGTGGGGCACAGCTGAAATATTTTTTATCTACCTCCAGAAATGGGGAGAACCTGGTGGACTTCACCTTCGTGGAGAATGTGGTTCATGGACATATCTTGGCAGCCGAGCACCTCTCCCAAGATGTAGCTCTGGGTGGGAAGGTAAGGACTTGCTTCTCCCAGCACCTTAGGACCCACTGGGAAGTTCTACATCAGTGAAGCATCATTACTTTGGACAGCCAAAATCCAGAACTTAAAGGCTTTGTTCTCTAGAGTCCCATGTTCACTCGAAGCCTGGTCACATCTGTGTTAGGCAGATACTTGTCACTTTTCTTCTCATATTTCAGATTTCAGATTTCTATCCTCCCTCACCACCCACACATGACTAATTTTGTTCAGACCTGACACTCCTGCACTCCTAGCAAGTGATCTGCATATAGTCATTCAGAAGTCATCAGAGTTGAGAGGACCTACTCTGTTACCCCACCTTGCCTGTTATTTCTCAGGCTCACTATCTTCCTTGTTTTTCACTCTTATCTCTGAGTGCTCTTTTCTCCCCTGTGAACATTTTCTATTTTCCCACTTATAACATGGTTTAGAACAAACAATATGTCTGAAAGATTGAATATTGGCCATTTGTTACATGCAGATGTAAAACTGAGTTTTACCATGGCAATAATTACCAATTGTAACTTCCTGAGTGCAAGCTAAACTTCACTTTTAGGATCCACTTTGTGGATTTTGTTAACACCTTCAATCTCTGCCCTTCTACACGGCCCATTCTGAGAGTCTGAGACAGACTGTGATACATTGCAGCTAGGCATGTAAGACCTGATAACGCACATGGTGCCTTGCCAGAGAGACAGGACAGGCAGGACAGTGTGCCTCTGCTTTCCCACAGTAACAGTTGCAAGTGGAGCCAGCAGCTAGTTGAGCTTAGAGACCCATGTGTGGCCTGCTCACCCCAACAGCTGTGCAGGGTTCTCTAATTTCGTGTTCCTTTACCAGGCATTTCACATTACCAACGATGAACCAATTCCTTTCTGAACGTTCCTGTCCCGCATTCTGACAGGCCTCAATTATGAGGCCCCCAAGTACCACATCCCCTACTGGGTGGCCTACTACCTTGCTTTCCTGCTATCTCTGCTGGTGCTGGTGGTCAGTCCTCTCATCCAAATCAAGCCGACTTTTACACCAATGCGGGTGGCATTGGCTGGCACATTCCACTACTACAGTTGTGAGAAAGCCAAAAAGCTCATTGGATACCGGCCACTGGTCACCATGGATGACGCCGTGGAAAGGACTGTGCAGAGTTTCCACCACCTGCGGAAGAACAAATGATGTGCCCCAGAGCCCTCCCCAATAATTTTTTCCTCTCTGTTCTGATGAGCCAATATCCTTAATTGAGTTTCTTCTGAGCTATGTGCCCCTTGCTGGTGACAAGAGCAGATGTCTCTTCCAGGGTAGCATTGGACTTCCTAAAGCAGGCAGATGCATAATCTACTGTTTTGGTCTTTCTCTCTCCCTCCCCCTGAGTATACCAACATAAAGTGAAAACCACAAGACTTTGATCGAGGTCTTAAAAACTGAAGCAAAACCAGAATTGTTGACACAGAGTAAGACTTAGACATACATTTCATATGTTCCTAGTAGAATAGTTAGAAGTGTTGATGACTGTAACCCCAGCTACCAATCTCTAAGAATAAATACATTCCTGGTTCCCTGCTGTCTTGCATGATGTCAGGGTTTCTTTCAAAAATGAGTGCAGTGTCTGCCTGCCTTGTTTTACCATAAAACATCTCTCTTTCCACAGAAACTGTTGGCAGTCTTTAGTTGTCAGTGCGATGTGTACATTGTGTGCTATGTTAGTTGGTCAGCTCCTAAAAACATGGTTGGTAATAAGCTGGAGAGAGTGGCCTTCTTCATCTCCAGGATGTTTGAGTAGAAACTGTACTGATAGTTCATTTGTATTTTAATAAATAAAGCTTGCCTGAAGAGTGAAACAGCCGCACTGGTCAGCCTTACAGACCAGGCAGTGGTGACACACACCTTTAATCCCAGTAGTCACACTAGTTTGCCATAGAAACCGGGCACTAGTGGTGCATGCCCTTAATCCCAGCCCTAGAGAGGATTATAAGAGGGGAGGAGGCAGCTCTCAGACACAGTCTCATTCTGAGATTCCTGGAGGCAGGATCGCCATTTCAGACTGAGGTAGAGGTAAGAGCCAGTAGCTGGCTGTTTTGTTTTTCTGGCCTTTCTTTGACAAGCTTTATTTATTAAAATACAAATGAAATATCACTACAAGAAACTCCTTCATGAGATTTTGCAGAATGGCCCGCAGACACGGTTGTAGCTCACCTCACAGAACATACCAGGCCGTTCATCTTCCAAAGAGTACAGCCCATCTAATACAGTGTGGTTTTGTTCTCTGAACTCATTAAAGTGTGTTCCTGAAGAACTTTTGTTTGTTTGGTTTTTGTTTTTTCAAGACAGGTTCTCTGTGTAGCTTTGGAGCCTGTCCTAGAACTCAACTCTATAGACGAGGTTGGCCTCGAACTCACCTGCCTCTGCCTCCTGAGTGCTGGAATTAAAGGCGTGCGCTACCACCACCTGGCTCTTGAAGAATTCTACGTTCTTCTTCATCACTGTCTAAGGGTAGGAAGGCAATTGGGGGAAACTATAATAAAGGTATAAAGGCCATACAGTTTGTGTTGCTGGCTTATTAGCTCTGCCTGGGAAGAGACCATGCTGAGCTGCCAAGGCATTCAGATATAAATGTGAATAAGATGCCAGGTTTGCTCATGAGGCTTACAGTAATGGAGTTCCATTCATAATACCCTGAAGTATGATAAAATTTGATGCATTTTATGTACTTATGTAAGACAACGTGAAGTGACATGGTTTCTGCAGAGCAGGTGATGCACTGAGTTTGGACATGAAGAAGAAATAATCGCTGATGCAGACCCACCAATTGGCATTTCAAACTAAAGAGATCAGTCTCATAGCCAACCACTTTGAGCAGAGTGCTGTGTTTCTTAACCATATATGAAATAATAGTGTAAGTTGCACTTACTGGTGTAACTTCAGTTCGGTAGAGGACACAAGTGGAAGGCTACTTTGGGAAGCAGTAGGACATTGGTCAGGCTAAAGAGGAAGGCAGGGGATAACCTTTATTCTGTAGGTCTGGACAGCCTGTAGTGGTTCATACAATTTACTCAGTAGAGGGCAAGGATCAAGAAAATCCTCCTGACTGCTCCACATGAGTTAGAACTGAACATTTAATGGATGTACTTTGAAAGAAATCAGAATTCAGCACAGAAAGGAAAGATGCACCTTAGATGGGAACAAAGCTTAGTAATTGATCAGAACTGCTAGATGAGAAGCTAATAGGCCTAGCTAACAGACAAAACCAAATGCCTTCAAACTCCCTCAAAATGTTAACAGCTGTTGGACCAAAGATGTCCCTTGTCAAACTCAGTTGTCCAGTGCATTCTTCCTTCTGTCCCTGTGACCAAATACTGACAAAAACTACTTGAAAAACAGGAACTGTTTTAAAGAACTTACTCTCTGGTTGGTTGGCTCTGTTGCTTTTGGGACTGCAGTGCCCTATCCCATTCAAGCTCATGCCTCAAAACCTAACTTCCTCCCAGTAGGCCACACCTGTTAATGGATCCACCACTTCCCAGTTGCAGCAGAAGATGGAGTCCAAGCCTTCAACACATCATCCTGTAGGAGATAGTCAAGACTCAGCTGTGGCTTTTGTTCACTTGTGCCATCCACACACTCTGACTGGGTGCTGCTCTGAGTTCCTGCAGTAAGTACAGCAGGCATACATCTGCCTGTCTGGCATGGATATTGTAGTAGGGCCACCTAACTAGTATATAACAGAAAACTTGCAAATTCCAAGAAGGAAAAATTGGGGTAAGAATATGGCCCAATGGTAAAGAGCACGTGTTGCTCTTATATAGGACCCAGTTGAGTTTCCAGTACCCATAGGGAGACTCACAAGCTGTCTGTAGCTCTAGTTCCTGGGGTCCAGTGCCTGCTCTGACTTCCATAGGTACCAAGTATGCATCTGATGCACAAGCATATCTGCATGCATGTCCTCCAGACAGACCCTAACTTCCCAGCTGACCACTCTCCCTACATTCCTCACTCAGACCCATTCACCTCTTTTCCAATTGGAGGAAGTACGACTGCCAAGAAATTTCATTCCGAGGCCACACCCCGACCATGCTGAACTGAGCCTGGGGGTGGGCCTGACACTGTCCCCACAAGCCCTGCTGATGGTTTCAACCACTAAAGTAGCCTGCCCCAGATCATTGAGTGCAGCTAGAGCCTCTCCGCAGCCACTACAAGACACAACTTGCTCTCATCACAGGCCCAAGGCCTAGGGGCTACCCCGCCTGTTCCACTCCTGATGACTGATGGCCTCCAGTGGCTGCCTAAAGCATGGAGCTTAGCCTTTGCCTGTCTGTGTGATACTTTCTCTCTGGAGAAACGGGGCCAGAGGAAGGCAGTTTGCTCCCGGTATGTCTGTTGGGGTGAGCTCCCATTTCAGAACTTCTTCCCTCTGTGGTTGTTGACCTAGTTCTTCCTGGACCATCTACACCCAAGTCAGGTGTGCTGTGACAGCAGAGTGATCTCTCCCTCTCCCAGCCCACTCTCTACATCTGTTATGTCAGACCTAAAACAGTTCTAGCTTCCGCTTCACTACCAGCCGTACTTTAGCGGGGTTCTGTGTTCTCACAGCCTCTCTTCCCACATCTCCCACCAGGCTAGCATGTGCTGTATTCCAGCAGAGCTGCGCCTTGACTGACTCACGGTCTGCCATCCACACACTTCCTCAGCTTGTCCTTCTTGCTCTCGGTGTATTTGCAGGCCCTGTGTGCAGGTCTAGAGTGACCAGTTCTTTCCTTCCCAGAATCCTAGCTTTCTCTGTCTCCTCTCTGTTTCCCTAGCCCATGGCTCTTGACCTTTACCTCATTTCATGTATTTCCTACCTTTACTTTTTCCTACTTCCCCCAGGCCAGAAGTTCTTTGAGGGACAGAGCCAACCAGTTTTCCCTGCCAGCACAGAGTGGGTGTCCAGTAAGCACAGGTGGTCATCTGTCCTAGAGGAACAACAGCAACCACAAAAGGGAATGGCCAGCCAGGCTAGGGCAATGCAGAGCCACAGTCCCAGTGTATGTGCGTGGGGTCTACAGCCTCAGAGCACCATATTTAGCCCTTCAACTGTGTCTTTCAGCAGCATGTCAGACAAGACAGGGACCAAATAAATTACAGGCCAGGGAACTGGGGTTCAGCAGCTGTGGGAAACCTGCTTTGGAGAGGGATCCAGTAGACAGAAACTAAGGAGCAGTGGGCACCCATATCTGCAAGTCTCTGAACTAACTATTCCACTATGGGATCCATGACTCCAAAACAGAAGTCACGGAACCCATGCAAAGGACAGCAGCGACCTCCTGCCCTTCAGAGGTTCCAGGTTTGCTGTGTGATGGCATATACTGATGCTCTTTCCCTCCCAACTCCTCTCTTCCATCCCCAGGAGCGCAGCTTATGCCAACTTGCATGCAGTTCTTCAACAGCATTCTCCTGCGCCCATCGTACTGCTCTTGGTGGGGTGGGAGAAGCAGCAGCCGATTCTTTCAAACTCCATCTCCAACATAATTTCTTCCTGCGTGTCCATCTAATTATGTCCTCAATCGTATAATAGCCATTGACCCAACTGCCCCCCATCCCATATAGACTTCCTTACTCCTCAGAGCCCAGGGGCTTTCTATTCCTTATTTATTCCAGGGAAAGTAGCCACAAAGTGTGCTAAGACTTGAGGACCTTCAAAAAGAAAGCCAGCAGTTCCCACATTAGCCACCTGAGGGAGCCCCCAAAGATCCTTCTCAGAACCAGGAGGGACCGTTGCTTTGGATCTCTCAAGGCCAGTAAACCCCACCTTTCACATTAGCATTTAGGCGGTCTAATCTAGCTAAGAGTTCCTAAACCCACAGGATAGCAGGCTTCAGTTGGAAATGTTCTAACCTGAAGGGTTCAAAAAGAACAAATAGGGCCTGGGGACACGGCTCAGTGAATAAAAGTAATTGCTTGTACAAGCATCAGGACCTGTATTCAAATCTCCAGCACCCACATACAAAGCTGAGCAGGGCTGTACATACCTGTTATCCTAGTGCCTGGGGTGGAGAACAGGTAGAAGGATTGCTGGCGCTTGCTGGCTGCTAGCCTGGCAAAAAACAATGAGCTTCAGGTTCTCAAGAGAATAAGGTAGAAATCTATTGAGGAAGATACACAATAAAGGAAGATACCTGATATCCTCATGGCCTCCACACATGTACTCAGAGGAGTGTGCACCTGCATGCACATGTCTGTAACACACATTAGCACAGATGGAAATTGTGAGAAAGAAAAGCACTATGGGAGACTAGACTTCCATTCCTTATGCTCCTCTCTTCAACATTTTTTAGCCATTGACTATGGAAGGTTTCTCATGATAATGGCCAAAGTAGAGATTTCTCTTTGCCAAGTTTGCCTCTCACGTGCTCATGCTCAGAAAGATGGTTCACATCAGCTCACTGGGTTCTGAAAATTTCTGTAGGGATAGAAAGGAAAGAAAAAGGTGAAGGCAATCTGTATGTCAGTGACTCTGTTGAGATGCTTTCTGTAGCAGGTACTAAGAA